TTAAGGAGAACCAAGAGAGACATTGATTTAAAGAGTTAAGTAATTGGCACTTTGAGTTTTGATCTCACATACAGGAAAAAAAGTTCAAAAGAACAGAAAATTTATCAGAATTGATCCAGAGTGAAAAGGTACAGCAGAACTTCTGAAAAGTAATATAAAATAAAGGTTAATCCAAAACAATTTTATCCTGCCAAATGAAACCATTTCCTGCCTCAGGAAGAAATGGGAAAAAAAAAATAGTTTGGTTGAGGGTTTTTAAATTTATTTGGTATTGTAGTCTGGGCTTTGTGGAGGTTTTTTTCTGATTTTTTTTTCCTGCTTATTTGTTTTCCATTTTATTCAGGTTAAAAATAAATTTGGCACACTGGATGAAATCTACCTGAGAAACTTCCTTGTGTATTACAGGTTTTACCTTTGCAAAGTTTGCACTTACATTAACCTCCAGTAAAAGGTCCAGATTAGTTCATTGTAACAAGTGTCTTTGTTTTATTTAAATGTGGTTGGATCAGGTACGTGAATAATGACAAGCAGGGCAATTTCTAGGATTGAAGACTCTGGTCTCTGCTGTGCTAGCAATTGCTGACCTTCAAGATCTGCTAAAACAGCACAACATCTGTTTACCAGGTTCTCCATGAAGATGGAGGAAGCATTTCAGTCATGTAGATCAACAAACCAAATACAAATCAAGCATGCCAGCATGCCAACACGTTTTCTGCACCTTAAAAAAAATGGGAAGAGAGAGAGTGTCAATAGCAGTGGAATCTCTCCACAAAAGGAGAGCAAGAAATAGTATAGGACAGTTTACATTAAGGAAGAAATTGTAGATTCTTAAGGTGAGAAATGCTTTTTTTTCCTAGGTTTTTATTGTTCATATTCAATTGAACCAACCAGCTAAGAAATTGGTTGTAAAGATTCAGCCTGGCTGTTCTGCTCTTGGCTGCTGAGCCATGGTATTTCTCACACCTTTGAGTTGGAGAAGACCTTTGTTATCAGAGCTATGCCAAGACTGCATTTGTTACTTTTTATAAGTTTATTTTTGCCTTTGTAATCTAAAACTTAACTTTTTCCTTAGGGGAGTTAATATGGAAGGTGGCTACTAAAAGATTATCTTCTGTGAGGATGAAATTTACAATAATGAAATACCCTACTCCTCCAGTGGCCACCAGTCACGTATGATGGCTTGTGAAAACATCCCACTCCAGCAGAGATCAAAGGAACACCAGCACAGAAGCTCTACCACCCCCACAGATTAGCTTTATAACCATCACTGTGCCAGGAAAGAGGCAAAAATGCAAAATCCTCACTTCTAATAGCAATAGACATACATATTTATTTTTGAGAAACAGATGACTATTTCAGATGGAAATAGGGAAATATATATTTTTGATTCCTTAAATAAAGCAGTAAGTTACTAAATACCAATAAAGCAGAAAACTTGGACCACTGGCTGTAGGTGTATCAACTGATGAGATTGTAAAAATGCTGTTTTCAAAGCAGGATACTGCATAAATCATCTGAGATATGGTGACTGTCCAAAAGATTGAACAGAGAAGACAATAAATAATTTTTTTAATGTTTCCAAAGGATAATGTGCTGAAAAACTAACTTTAGGTCTGTCAATTTAATGCTCACCCAGGGAAAAATCTTAGAAAAGCAAAAGAGGATGTGCTCAATAAAGAATTAAGGGTGAACAGCATAATTAATACCAGACAACACAGCTTAATGAAAGATAAAAGTTTGAATAGGTAGGATTTCCAGTCTGACAAAATGTGTATTTGTTAAAAGAGCAGAGTTCTACAAGGCCATATGAATTTCTCACATAAAAATAAAGAACTGCTCAAACTTCAAAGTCTAAATAAGAAAATTAAGAATTTGCTAGAGAGACTTTAAAAGAAAATACTAAATGGGAATAATCTTCCAAAAATAACATTTCTGTTAGGGTTTTCTTACCCAAATGTAGTTCAAGGGAATTCATGGATTGGGAGGGAAGGAAAGAGAAATTGGTGGTAAAGACTGTGGTTGCCACTAACTGAATAAGAGATAAAGATAGCTCATAGAGAGAGGTCCAGGCAGCAGTAAAAGCTGGCTTGACTTCTTTTAATTAAAGAGCTAAGTGCAAAGATCAAACAGCTAGGAACAGGGAATGGGGGCTCAAAGTGAAATAAAAAAAAATGAATTAATGTTGGCAAGAAATAACCCCACTCTTTTTAATGAGAGCAGATCAGAGAGAGTTCAGATGAAATCCCTAGAATGGTTTGAAATTTGGAGAGTCTTTAATGAGAAACTGAAGTACCTCAGGTGTATTTTCTCATTTCAAGCTTGCATTTCTACCCAGTGGCAGTCACAGTGAAAGCTCCCACCTCTAACAGTGTCAGCATCAGCTGAGTGCCGGCCCATGGTTGCTACAGCATCTAGTCCTGCTCAGAGCAGGGTTACTGATGGCAGGTTGCTCAGGACAATCCAGGGATGTGAACTCAGCAGCCTCTTTGGGCAAGCAGTGACACTGCCTGATAAGCTATTAAAAAAATAAAAAATAAATAAATTAATTAAAAAAAAAATTGTGTGTTTAACTGTTTCTGTATTTTAACTTGTGCCCACTGTCCTGTTATTGGGCACCTGCATTAACATCCTTCACTCCTCCCTTGCCAATATTTACTCACATGTTAAGATCCCTCTGAGCCTTATACTCTGCATGCTGAACAGTCACAGCTCTCTCAGTCTGCTCCCAGATCAAAGATGCTCCTGTCCCCTCACCACCTTCATGGCCCTTTGCTGGACTCACTCCAGTATGTCCACGTCCTTCTTGTACTGTGGAGCCAAGCCTGTTCCCAGCACTCCTGATGTGTCTCACTTGCTGGCTAGAAGGGAATTATCACATCCCTTGAACCAACGGCAGTGCTCTTCCTAATGCAGCCCCACACCAGAATTTGGTCAGTTTATACTAAGACTCAGGAACACAGTTTTAAAAGTAGGAATAGAGAAACCATTGGAACAACTTTTGGGTACATAACAGAGAGTCAGTCTTTTAAGTCCTTAAATAATTACTACATTTCTTCATAGAAAGGTAGTTTCTGATTTAGGCAGACCATAAAATCTAAACATAGGACTCTTGCTGTCAAGTTATATTGGAATTCAGAATAGCTGATCATAATGGTTCAGTCAGTTTGTTAAAATAATTTGACTCAGCAATGAAAAAGCAAGGGGGTTTCCTCTTGCAACTTCCAGATGCACACAACTCCCTGCTGGAAGATTTTTTTCTAAAATAAGCAAGGAGATCATCAGTGAAAATTATATTGTAATAACAATTTAAAAACAAAACAAAACAAAAACCCCAAACCCTCCATTTACTGTTATGCAGTAATAAAATCTGGTTTTATGCAACAGCACAAAGATAATCAGTTTGGTTTGTTATAGATAGAGAAACTATTTGAGTTTGAAAACCCTTATAAAATGTTTGCTCTTAACAAGTAGATAGAAAAGATGCCCAACTATCAGTTCCTAACTCTCAACAAATCTGAAGCTGTTTTCCTAGTCTACCACCAGTTTATTTCATTATAATGCCCTTAAAGACATGTTGTAACATCCTTTTGCTCTCAAATTTACAGTTTGGGCAGGGTATGTGTGTATGGAGGTGGTAATGCTGACATACTGGAAGCTTTCCAACAGGATAAGAACTGCTTTTTCCAGACATCCTGCTAACATCAATTTATGGATGGATGTAACTTCTTATCATCTCCATTGCAGGGCATGGCTGTCAAAGACACTTCCTGGGCCACTGTTCATATAGATTTGTTTGTTCTGTTCAGAAAGATGGGGGAAGAAAAATTCTGCTATTTCTCCATTAAAAGGACTGGAATAGTTAATGTCTGAAATAGTTTGTAGACAGCATTTCAAAAAAGAGATTGAAATGCAGGATAAGGGGAAGCACTTTGAAGACAGCCAAAAGAAAGCAAAAAAGCCTAATAGAAGAGGTTATTCAAGGTGACCTGACATCACTGTTCCTGAATGCGAAGGTAGCAGGTTAATAAAAAGTTCTTTTTCATTGGATACAGAAACATAGCAACATAGACTGAATTTTAACTTGTTGGGGACATGATGATTCCCTCTCCCACTCAGTCTTTGGGTTCACTGCTCCAAAAAGACCACCTACAAGTGTGAGTCCCATTAGAGTACAATACCAGGGTCTAACTACAGCAAAGATATTTCCTCTAAAATATATGTATATGCATGTACAATATATGTATATACTGCCTACTCTGCAGATGTTTTGCCCTAGTATCTACCCAAGGAGACCAGGTGAGGGATTTCTTGGAGGGAGAGGTAAATTTAATTTTCAAAGGAGAAGTCCAATGACAAAGCCAAATACCACTTGCAATACAGTACCACTATGTAGGTATGGAAAAGTCTTCCCAAAAATTTTTTCCAGGAATTTTTACCTAAAGGAAGGTTAAACCAGAAAATATTGCCAAATCTCCAGCATTCCCTATGAACATCAGCTAGCTAGCAGTAGGAGAGATTTCAGTGATTGTTTGAACCAAAGACAACTAGAGTGTCCCACAAGGGGAAGCAAGCATCGCAACATCCATGGTTCAAAAACACCTTCTGGTAACTCGTCATGAAGTTTCCATATTGCAAGGGTGATGGAAAAATATCATGGTATGCCTGCATGCTGAACAAAATTGCTCTGGAGACCTTTAACTCAGCTGAAGACATATTTGCAAATGCCACAGATACTTTTCCATCTCTGTGTGGTTTATGTAACATGCACTGTGAACCCTTTTACATTAGAAGTATCTTTGTCCTATATGGTGACTTTTAGACAGCATTAAAATGATGTCACCTGTCTCAGAGACAGGGAGACAAGTCACAAGGACTCGAGGGACAACGAAAAGCAGGAAACTAAAGCCAATGTTGGAGTAGTGTTCCCCATTCCTGTAACAGAAGTTACCATGGTAAAACAAAGAGAAAGGACATATCACAAAAGATATGGAGAGGTCAAATACATTTCAGTGTTATTTCAAGCTTTATTTCTTTATTTCATGTTATGTATTTTTCTAAGAACTTATTTCAGAGATACTGTCTACAATGCACATTTTTCTTCTTGAGTGTCTGCAATTGAGTACAAGAGTAAAATAATTTCACAAAACTTCCACAAAAACAAACAGAAAACAAACAAACAAACAAACAAAATCCCAGCAACACTTCTCCTTCTCTTCCCAAAAGAAAACTCTCAACCTGCTTTTTTAGATGGTCTCTGAATTGTATTTTTCTGGGTAAATTGCAGCAAGTAAATACAGATATTACTGCAGTTTCTGCAGTCACTTATGTCTTCTTTTCCAGAGATCATGAAGACTGGGATAATTACATTCTCCAAGAGGCAAAACAATTTATGAAAAAGAATTACACATATTCCTATTAAAAATTAAATAGGACTTTCATAAACAGCTGTTTCAAATATGTATGCATGAATAATGACAGCTAGAAACCAGTCTCTGCAGATTGCTCATGAAGAGGGTGTGCAGCTGAAGCCAGGGTAAAGAAAAGAACCACAATAAAAAGCAGTTTCTTGCAGCTTTTATGCGGTCGTTTGGTCTAGGCCAGATAAAAGTGAATATTTCTGCAATACCCTGTAACAAGAGGGAGAAAACAATTAAAATTTATCTTTTACAGCAAAAACAAAATTCAAAGTCAACTTCTCAGGGATTAAGTCCATTGGAAAATAAAGTCTTTCTTTTCTTCCAACAGGTTTTAGCTTTTAATTATGTAAAGCCTTCACAAAGGGATTTCTATCATTTTGTAAATTTAGTTCACAAAATGTCCTAATTATCTGCAGACATGTTAATAACGCTTTGAACAGTGTATTAACATAGCAGGCTGAAATGTGTTTTCAGAACAACAGTAAAACAAGGCTTAAAAATACACCCATCCATATTTCTTGTACATTTCATATGTAAATACATTATTGGTATTGTAAATATGGTGAAAACAACAAAGAATCCGATGCATTGAACTCCTTCAGCTGTCCACAGGTTATAAAACCTGGTAGAACTGTGGACTGCAAAAAATAGCCATTTCTTCTCCTCCAGGGAATTGCCTTTATCTATACATTGTCATTTATTTAGTGAATCTGAGAAAATTTTTAATAACAATTTTACTTCTCATAAAACTGAAAAGACAACTCATGGGAAACAAGCAATAATATTTAGATACTGTCTTCGGAATAAAGCCCTGCTGCAAAAATATTAACGTAACTGTTGGAGTAGCAAATTATGAAGAAAGTCACATATCTAGATTTGTGGGAGAAGGGTTGGAAGCAAAGGCCTTTTAAAAGTTTGATAAAGTTTGATTCTTTTAAATTCCTTTTCATAAAATGCCAGGTCTCAAAAAAAAAAAAAAAAATAGTTATGTCAAAAGCATCTCCTAAGGAACAAAAAATCTTTGCCAGTTCCCAAACTTGCTTCAAAAGTGTCTAAGTCTAGAAATAAAGGCTCTGCAGAAATACTTGTATCAGAATTGTGATTTAGAGTAGGGAACCCCTTTCAGAAAGGAACACAGATGCAGTAAGCCTTAAGAAAAGGACATTTTAAAACAGAAGGACTGATTTCCCTGATTCAGTAGTGGTGTTTTTACTGACAGCCTCCACTGATATGCACAGTCTCCCTTTTTGTTAATGAAAAATAGTTGAAGAACACAGCCCACAACAGTATCCCTTAGGAACACTGAAAGTTTACTAAGTCGCCTTCTGCACTGCCAGCCACATTCCTCAACTGTTCAGCTTTATCCAGGCACAGTCTATGAAGTAGAGAACATGGCTGTAGTGAAGTTTTAGCCTAAATATCAAGGCACTCCCTGAAGATGCCTTCAATACCATCATCAACTCTTCTTACCTGCAATACATTTTCTGCGATGCTTTACAAAAATCATATTTCAGATTAGGCTTGTGCCATTGCATGGCCCCCAAACGTACAGTTCGAATGCATTTATTTTAAGATCCCTCCTCATATTGTTTCAAAATTAAACTATATAAGCTGTCATCATTAAATGTCAAATTCAAAGCTAACTTGATACTGACATAGGTCCTAAAAAGAACAAACAAATTCATTATACTTACCTTGCTCCTCCTTTATTCCAAGTAGTTTGACTACTGGATAAAAATAAAAAAAAGCATTAGTACAGTACAATGTGCAATATAATCACATATTTATGCAAGGAATGATGGTTATCCATCTGTGTGGAGCTTTCTTGTTTATTTGAAGCCCTTTTGAAACTCCAGTTAAAATAACAAACAAACCCTTCTCCAAGATTCCAGTCCTCACAAGAAACATCTTTAATTTGAACTCTAAATAAACAGCAGGATCTATTGACTCAAGAGATAAACATATCTTGCTTCTGATGAGAAAAAAAAACATCTAGAAGTATTTCAAATATCTTCAGATTCTTCAATCCTTAACCTCACGCAATTTGAAAGAATGAGAAGTTTCTTCTGTTCCTGCCCAGACTGACGCTATCCTCATTTAGGATGAGATTCTCAAAGCAAAGAATGATGGAGCTCAAGACCAAGGCAGGGGAAACACATCTGCATATGACGTTTGACAGCCCTGCCAGAGCGAAATCACTAAACTGAGCTATAGCCTGCCTGGATCCTCTCATCTGAGATCCCTTTGTTGATGCTGATACTTCTGCTAAGTAGTTTCTATATTTTCTGCCACAAAGGACAAGCATGTTACTCTCAGTAAAAAGAAAAAACCCAACAAAAAAAGAAAACAACCAGTTTTAGGAAGCAAATGAATAACCTTTTTAACTCAGATTGTACATAGACTAACCAAGTTAGCTAAGTTAGCAAATCACATTATTCAGGTAAACAAATGTAACCATTGTAGATTGCATTCTGGATTCTTTAATACAAATATTATTTTCTAAATATTTCCATGTTAAGTAAAAGCCTTTTCTTTGTTCTAGGAAAGCAGCATTTTTAATGCAACTTGATCCTTCCTAAAGTATATTAAAGATGGATTGTTTACAAAAACCTGTGGCACGTATGCTGGCCTTGTGACTTCAGGGGCCTTTGAGCTGTGGCTCTTTTTGCAACAGTAAACTTCATGACTTGTTCCCTCTTCAACTGGTCACAAATAGTATAAATCAAGTGGTGGTTGAGACTCCAAAGAAACTTTCCCATGGGTCACGCTGCAAGAACTAAACAAAGTGCAAACCCACAGACCATGTTTATTCAAAATAGTTTTATCCATAAGTCGTATTTCCTCAAAACAAATTTATGCAGCATCTCATTGAGTTCCTGTTCTGCACATGGGAAAGGAAGAGAATGGGGTTTCCTGTCCCACTGCACCTATGTATTCAGGGCATAGCTGCTTTCCACAGCAAATAGCTAGAATTATGCATCCACTGAAAGAGCAGAGTCAGCACTCGAGGGAGCACTTCTCATTCTTATGCATCACACTGGATATAACGGAGACATGAGACAGGAAGACGTAATGTCACCTTGCCTTCTAGATTCTGGGTTTGCTATGGCTCAGAGAGTTTCAGCAAGACAACTAATATTTAATTAAAGAAGAGTAGACTGATAAATTTCATATGTTTACAATGTGACCTCTCCCCATTCACAGAATAAACGAAAGGGTACTTGACAGTGGCCCATTTTCATGCAAAAAATTAACAAGGTCTCTGTTACAGGATTGCCATTCATTAGCTTTTGGTCTCTGCAAATCCTTACATACTTGGATATGGGCAAATCTCATGAGGAATTGAATAACAAAATGTGCAAGTATTTTAAACTCTTTTTGTAACAACAGAAGTGTTTTACTGATCATTTGTGCCAAAACAATGAAAAAATACTGTTTCACTTCTAAGTCCCAGATGAGTCATGATTAAATTAGGCAGAAATTCTTTACTGTGAAGGTGGTGAAGAACTGGAGCAGGCTGCCCAGAGAGGCTGTGGATGCCCCATCCCTGGAAGTGCTGAAGGCTAAGTTGGCTGGAGCTTTGGGCAACCTGGGTTCGTGGAAGGTGTCCCTGCCCATAGCAGGTGGGTTGGAACTAGATGATCTTTAAGGTCCCTTCCAACACAGATCATTCTGTGATTCCATGATATGATCTTGCTTATTAAACTTGAATATTAAAAGGTCAATGGCAATTTTCTTATCCTCCTATCCTGAAAGGTTTATCCTTATGTCAAAGGCAGTGCAAAAGGCATTAAAATTTTCTTGGTAGCATACAGCAAGACTCCGGGCTTTCTCAAGGGTGCAGTAGCTCACAGATAGAAGTGGAACTTCATTATATTGTTTTCCCATTAAAAAGGAAACTACATAGCCATCGAGAGAGTGTCCTGGCATTTATAATCAAAAAGGCAGAAAAATTACAGTCATGAAGATCCTTCTTGATATAACAGCTTATAAATATTCTTAATAAAACACAAAATGTCTGGAGGGCATTTGAATTAATGAAAACTGATTTCCTATTGCTTAGGGGACAATTGGACAATGTAACTGCTCTTCTGCCTTCTTCCCAGACATACAGAACATATTCAGCCTCCTCCCCTTTTCTCCATGTCTTTTGTGCTATCCATGTCCCTTTCTGAATCCCCTAGGCTCCAGGAAATCAGGGCGGAGCTGCAGCTGCTCTGGAGCTGTGCCCACGCTGATCTGCCAGAGGGCTGCAGTCAAACAACACAGAGGATGCACCACCCCTCAGAGTGGGCACTGTTTTAGGCTGTCTCCTATGCTAGTCACTGTTTTCACAAAACACGCAGAAATTTAATTATCTCTAAGATTTATAATCCCTTTCAAATTTGGCTAGGATTGGCCAGCAGCTGGAAAACCTTATTACATGCAGACAGATAGCATGATCATAGAAAACTTCATTTCTTTAGTAAACCAGGCTAATAGAACTGACAGTGAAAAATAGAAAAGGTACATCAACAATAATGCACAACATTCAGTTTTTGCTAAAGTGTGAAGCTGTTGTGACTGTAAAGAGTTCAAAGAGGAAAAAAAAAATACAAGAGGGAAAGAGAACAAATATTTCCTCTTTGCTGCCACTGCACAGATGGAATAGGCTCAAAAATTACCTTCAGGTCTTTACTTTGGGAACCTTTTTACCTTCTTTTAATCTTAATACATAGTCTGGCCTGTTTCAGTTAGCTCCCTTGTAATGTAAAATGCCAGGCTGCAGACTACATGACTTGTAAGCCCTGGAGTTCAGCCCTCTTTTTTTTAAATCCCAATGGAAAGGAGAAGAATCTTAGTATAATCAAAGACACGAAAATTGCTGCCTCCAGCCTATCTTTTGAGAAATTATTTTTCTTTCTTGTACTTGTTACCAACACTCATTTTTTAATTCCTATCCATTATGACATATTCTTTCATATTTTAGTATTTTCCTGCTCTGTTTAGTCTTCAAATCTTAAGTTATAACAGAAAGGAAAAAAAAGATCTAGCATTACCCAACAGAAGGCAGGCTCCTTGGGAAGCATTAAGTAAATAACATCATAAGATGTTTATCGCTTCCATACATGGGGTTTTATTGCATTTGTGTAGACGCATTCTTTGAATATATATATTTTAAAAAACCTCACATGGATTGGCTGCATACATCACAGAGTCATCTGTCGTTAAAACTTTACCTGGGCTGGTACCAACACATGCCCTGTGAAAGAGGGCGTGTGCATCTGGCTAAAGGCAAACCCCTGCCACCTCTGCAGACAGTGGCAAGGTTCTCAGGGGTGAAGGCAGGTCTGAGAGAGATGCTCGAGTAAGATGTTGGGGTTCTTGGCTGTGTCACACATTTTCCTTGGGGTTTATCAGGAAACAGTACATGGATGGGGATAAAAGACACAAAGTGTCCTTGTTGCCTTTGTTAACCAGGCACCCTCCAGCAGACTTTACCTTTCACATTTTCACTACTATCAGGTGGCTGTGTCCCGCCTGCAGTCTCTAATTCTGCTATCTGCAGACATGCTGGCCTTCAGGAGATGGCTCAGGCCTGCCATACACTGTGCTCTCTTACTCACACTCTTTAACTAGCCTGGACATCTGCAACTTGGCTTCCATCAGCCTCTGGACTGCCTGACGTGCTTCATGTTTCAGATCAGTAAACCTCACAGACCTGATGGGAGGTTGAGCTTGCATGTCCTGTCTCCTCTCACCAAGACCAAAAATCAGCACAAGGTTCCTGAACCCAGGGCTTGCCCAAAGCTTATAGTGATGAAGACAACCTTTTCCCACTTCCAGTACATGGAAAATTCCAGTAGCAATAATACCTGCTTTTTAACTATGCCTTGACTTTGGAGATGCTGGAACCGAACTCTTCCTGGTGTTCACTGGATAACATAAACATCCTCACCAATTAATCCAATTCAAGCTTTTATATTTTATCAACTAAACACCTTTCTCTACACAGTCACACACACTAAATTCTCTTAGACTCTCATAATTTTGCTTCTTAGTCTTCCTAACTCTTCCATTTTTGTACTAGAGTCCTTTAATCAATAGAATTTCAACCTTTGGAAAATTCCATGATGAAGAAAACATATAATTTTTTTTTTTTTTTACACTGAAAAGTGAAATTCTAAACAACAGTCATATTAATGTCTCATTAGAACAGTTGAAAAAATGAATGGATGTTTAATAGATTACAGTCAAGATATCTTTTCTTCAAAGAATCCCGATGAATACTATTTTTAAATGAAATGTAGTTGAGCCTTGTTTGTCATAATTTTATATAGGTAAAAAATGAGCATCTATGCATGGAAAGATATAGATAGATTAGACAGATTAGATAGACAGATAGATAGATATGGGATTTTCCCCCTCTAATTACAATACCATATTAAAATATTTACAGCATATCCAAGCATCTTTCATTTAAAGACTTTTAAAAATCCCTAATGATTTCACCATCCTTGTTCTGAATTTAAGGAAGTACCTTGGATGTGGCTCCTTGCAGTGAGTACCTCACACACAAGGCCACTGAGTTCTGCCTCAAGAGCAGCTGTTCCTCCCTCCTCCCATTTGAACAGCTTATATTTTAGGTAGAATTTCTTCTTGAAAGGTATTAAGGACAGCCTGCCAGGGCTGTAAGTTCTGTCAAGCAAACTAAACACACGTGGACACACAATAGTGTCTGGAAAAAAAAATTCAACATTTAAACAATCTCTTTTCTTTTCCATTCTGTACCAAAAAACTTACCAAGGTGCCATTATTGAGGTAATCCAGTATATCCAGGGTAGTACATGTTATTAGGCTGTGTTTTGTTTTGGAGTCGGTCCAGGAAAGCATTATTTACCCTTAAAGTACAATAAAAAAAAATGAATAATGATGGAAGGCGGCTGAGAAGTTCACAAACTATTGAAATTTAACATACTGTGAGTGGCTTTCCCTTCCCATGTTTTCAGTGCCCATTTCCCTGTATTTTTCAAGCTTGTGCTGCATAACCATGGATGGGCATGAGATCAGGTGGACTTAATTTTCTATTCACCAAATGCATCCTTATCCTGGGATCAGTCTGTTGGGATTAAGAGGCACATCTAGGCTGCTGTTTATAATGCACCGAAATTCTTCATAGAAAGATGACCTGCGTACCATCCATATCAGCCACTTTTTAGGGAGGTCACATATTTTGACAAGTCACCTTAGGTAATCTTTCAGCCTTCAATGCACAATGAAAGTTTCTAGGAGTACTGATTTACTAATATAAAATAGAAGAACACACTTAAGCTTGTTACTAGTAGAGACAATTTATGCATCTGACAACTTTCTCTACCATCCAGCTGTGAAATTCTAGCATTTTCTTGCACTGCTCTATCAATCTGGAAAGCATGGACAAATACACAGTTTACTTCAATCTGTTTTAAATATTTTCACAGTGGGAATGTTCAGCATGGAGAAGAGAAGCCTGTGGGGTGACCTTACAGCAGTCTATCAGTATTTGAAGTGGGTTAGGGTTTAGGGTTAGTGTTCTCTACAAAAGATAGGGAGAGGGACTTTTTACAAGGGCATATGATAAAGGACAAAGGAGAATGGCTTTAGACTGAAAGAGGGTAGATTTAGATTGGATACTAGGAAGAAATTCTTCACTATGAGGGTGCTGAGGCACTGGCACAAGCTTCCCAGAGAAGCTGTGGATGACCCATCCCTGGAAGTGTTCCAGGCCAGGCTGGGTGGGGCTTTGAGCCAATCTGGTCTAGTGGAAGGTGCCCCTGTCCATGTCAGGAAGGTTGGAGCTAGATGACATTTAAGGTCCCTTCCAACCCAAATCATTCTATGATTCTTTGGAAAACTGTTTCTTTTTCCCCTTGATTGCTGCTTAGGACTGACACACATGCTGAGATATGACTGTTGTTTTAATGTTTTACAATGGTATTGGTAAGAATTAAATAAAAACCAAAATACTGGGTTATTTCTGTCTAGGCAAATGAAACGGATGGAATTGAAAATCCTTCATTAACTTCTATGGGTAATTATTTCAGTGTTTTTGCTAGAGAAAAAAATGAAAGCAGTCTGAAGAGTGGTTGACTACAAAAGTTTTTTTATGTTTACATATTGATTTAAAAAAAAAAAGTTTTTACTTTCAAGCCTGAGCATTGTTTCTTTTTGCCAGCAGAAAACAAAGCTGAGAATTTCACTGTGATTCAGAATAATGAAAAGTCAGTTAAGTGAAAGAAGTGGAAGATGAGAATTATTGAGCATAGAGAGGTCACAGCAGTGGGGCACAGCCTGAGGTGCAAAGACATGCAGCTGCAGAAGGCCTTGCTGCACTGCAGGTTCCATCTGAATCAATACCAAATCCCAGGTTTAGATCTGTCTGTTAACCTCAGAGACAGTCAACCACAAGATGTGGCCTGGACAAAGTAGTCCATTCTAAAATAAATAAAAATATAGCTATAAAAATAAATATAGATAGATATCTAGGTTTGTATACAGATCCATAGATCAAGTGCGTCCCAGCTGAAGCTACTGTACTAGTAGTCATCAATAAAACTATTAATAGTTTCTGCCGTATGCTGTATCCTATGCTGATAGGATAAATAAAGTGAGAAAGGCACCCTGGGTCATACTGCATGCAGTGAGCAGTTGTAATCATGGATATTAGTGGCTCATTTAAAAACAGAGATAAACCAGAGATGAGGTCAGGGATCCCCATTGCAATAGTCTTCTAAAGCATGAGTGACTGCAATTTTGAGACCCTTTTCAGGTGGAAATTCAATTTGAGTGTATTCTGCAAGTTTTGCATCTTACCTTCTCTGTTCATTTTTAAGTGATCTTGTCCTGATTTCCTCTTCCTGCTTTTGTTTAAATTCCAATAATTCAGCCTGGCAATGATAAAAGTGAAAAACAAAGAAATAAACAAATAAACTAACTTACTTTTAATTAACATACTTATGCTGCAAACCCTATTAATTCCACATGATGCTAACCCCAGTTAAAGTCAGAACTTCTCTCAGCAACATTTTTCTTATGTGACAGCACTATCTTAAAAACTGAGTGGTTTTTCTGTTCAGCATGTGGATAATTTTTTGTTTGTGCTTTAAAAAGTGGGAAGTTACAGTATTCAGACATTTACAGTCCTAGGCATAAGGGGGTATGCTAGACACCAGTCTGCTTCCCGTTGCCCCAAAACACAAATTTGAATTTCCCAGTGGGTCAAAGGGGGACAAAAGCCAAAAGTCAGGAGCAGACACAGCTGTCATTCCCACAGAGTAAGAAGGAGACATGTCCTTTGCCTCCTGCCTCTACAGAGTGCAAGCAGAAGATGAGATCTGGGCTATGTGATGGGTTGTGTCACCTCCAGCACCCTGGGGCTCCCTTCAGGGTGAGGAGGGAAAGTGGTACTTGTTGAAAATGGCATGGTAGAAGCATATACAAGCGCCCAGCACCGAGCAGACTACCAGCCTTACGTAGTATTTAGGTATACAAATAGTGTCAAAGGGAATTCTTTTCAGAGGAGAGTTTGCTCATGCAATTTTAGCCAGAACTGTGAAGAAAACACAGTTCATATCACTCTGGTTTGTATGTGTGCTTGTTTGTCCAGCTCCTTCTGCCTGCAACACACCCAAGAAATTGCGGATCTTTCTGCAAAGGATTTGGCTTGCAGGGCAAGGGGGAAGGCATAGGAACAGACCCATCTTTCATATTTTCCATTGCAACTGCACAGCAGTAAGAATAGAAACTAAAATAAAATTATGTGCTTAGATAAAAGCTTCAATAACTGAATGGAACCACATGACCTTTTTTTTTTTAAATCGATTTAAGTGAAACATGAAGTAAAAACTATGCAATAAATGTATGAAGAAAATCAATAACTGAGAATGTGTTGTGTATCAATATTTGTCTAGCCCTAAAAGAAGAAACAGGATTAAGAAATAAAAAAGCCAACCTCCATTTTCACTATTTTAAATAACTATTCAACCTGAAAATTAAAACTCGGTATCTGACTTTCCAATATGTCGTCTCCTCTCTTGGAGTAATGTTCTGAAATATATTGTGTGTATATAATGCAGTGTTCAAAGTGTACTGAATATTTCTAAATCAAGCAATACATACTAAAACCTGTTCTGAAGAAAAAAAGGGAACTGACAATACCTACACATTTTATAGCTACACTGTGTTAGGAGGTACACACAAGACAGAATTCACAATTACTTTATCATTACTAAATATTAGTTTGAAGTAGAAATGAGCCAACATATATCTGAGGGACAATTATTGGTGCCCTTAAAATCCATATTATTTACAGTAGGTTTGTAAGTAGTGCATTACTCTGCACAATAGGTAGCAGCAACTGTGAAGGCAAGGAGACCTTGGAACCACATAGCAAACAAAAGGAGCCTTAGAAGCAGCCAACAGCTCCTTAGCAGCCCATGGAAATTGCTAAAGAGTCTACAGGTCTGCACAAGTCCCTTAAACCAAACCCATGAATTAGGGGCATGATAATTTACATCTGTAGTTATTTTCTCTTTGGAAGGGTCCATGTACAGACTACAAAAGGAACCAGTCTTACACCCATCCAGGCTGGCTTTCAAAATTTTTTCCTCTGTAGAGGTTCTTGGAATAAGCATATACCTGATGGGATAGCAATGAAGAGACTGCCTTTTGCCCCATCTTTTTTTCCCAGTATTATAGTTGTTAGAATACTATGAAATGAGGACACATCCCCAACATGTAAAGAAATATATCAGTGACAAGGAATAACTTCTGCAGTTCTAGAAGAAACTCGGTGTATGGAATTTGTTGTGCTAAAATTCTCCCACTGGGGAAGTAGCTTAACATTAATTTGGATGTTAGTAACAGCAGAGGCACTTGCTCACATATTTTCAAATTATTTGCTAGATTTTCATGTGCTGCCCTCCCTGTACTTTTACAGTCAAACCTGGAGCCAAAACTTTGCACAGTGCCATCACCTTTGGCAGATGAACTTTATGTGGATATGGTACCCAAATCTATACCAGAGGGGCTACACACTTCAGGCAATGCATGATGCATATGCAGAATATGGAGTTCAAAGTTGCAGTTATGGCATGCCTGCTTTTTAGACAATTCAAAACTCATTAGTTAGGTAGTTAGTTACACAGAGAGCCATGCTATAATTAACAGGAAATCTGAGCATTTCCACATCCCCATTTGAAAAAGCCAGGCCCATGGCCCTCAATTCTCTAGAAAGAGACAATTCAGAAAAATCATCCTTAATTCCTCAATAAGATGACTTCTGCCTGCAAGAGAGTAAACTGATTTCCTTAGCCTATGAAATCGGTTGCCATGGTCAAAAAACCCTCCACACAATTATTCAAGTGGAGAGGTGAAAAGGAGCACGTTTTCCAGATGAAAACAGCCTTGAACTCAGAAGATAATTGTCCTGTCCCTGTTCAAATTTTACAGCTTGACTCATCTCTCTCACAATATTTGAAAACGGTAACTGAATCACTTCTGCTAAAGAGAAGCTCTGTGCATAGGCTACAGGTAATCAGTGTATTTAATTACTTTCACAGCATGCAAAAATGATACAATATGTAAACTGTTAATGTATAATTACCTTCCTCTGTTGTTCTTGCCTCATTTCCTCTAATCTTTTGTTTTCATCGTCTCGAAGAGCTTGCTTATAAGCATGGCTTCTTTTCTATTGTTCAGCAGAAAATAAAAATATATTAGTGTGGTGAGAGTGAGGCCAAACTCCCAAACCTTATTCTCAAATTGTTATATGGGTAATTAACAAACACAAATGGTCGAATGATTCCAGTTACTTAAGAAACAGATTAGTCTTGATTAGAATTTAAACAAGAAGTGGCCTAGAGCCTCTCAGTCATTCTGTTTGTTGAATGTCCATCTGTGCATCACACCCAGGTAGTCACAGCAAGTGCTATTCTCCATCCTAGTGACGACCATAAAGATATCCTGAGCAGTCAGAAAACACAATCAGGATATATGATAATGAGATGGAGTATTCAGGGAAGAAATAAAAGTAATGAAAACATTACCAAGATGAAAAAGCAGAATGGAGGCCTTATAGCAGAGGGAAGCACAGGATATTTTTTGTGGAGGTAGGGCAACAGGAGAGATCAAACCTAATATTATTTGTGAGGCATCAAGAAAATTGAAAATGTGAACTACACATCATAAATAATGCAATAACAGTGCAATAGGTTTTCATTACAATAACTAGCCCTGGTCTTTCACACGTTGTAATTGTTTGCAAAAAGCCAACTGACAATTAGGGTCTTAGACAATCCTTAGGATATTATACACTGGAACTTCTACTGTAAGGTCTTTGAGCATAGGGACATAGGACAGCACACTAAAAAATAAGCCAGTATAATTTAATACAAAAATTGTGCAGATTTGACTTAAGTGAGGAATTTGTTACAGGTCTACAGACTATTTCCAAAATTTGATATATGCATGCAGAATGACACCATTAAAACAACAGGCACATAATTTGCTAAAAAGATTGAATAGAGAAAGCAATTATTAATAGCTCAATTTTGAGCTGGGAGATGTTGCTACACGTGTCCAGGGAGACACATTCTGGGTCCGATATTATTCATTACTCTCCATAATGGCTTGGAGAATTGTGTGGAGAATATGTTAATCAAGTTGGAAGACAATAAAAATCTACACAGGATTGGTCACACTTTGAAAGACAGGATTAAAATTAATTATGAGTTTGATTAAATAAGCAGGCCTAAAAAGTCATCAATGACAGAGTCACTCAAAAGTAGTCATATTTGTTCATGGACGAGAAGTAACATTTGGCAAGGATAGTTAAGCTAGGTGTGCTAAATTAGTATCACTAGCCAAGAAATGATGTGAGGGGAAAAAAAACTTTGAACTGCATCACATTGTTCCAGACTGTTTTCAGAACAAATTTTTAAAATTTAAAAAAATATCACATACATATATATATATATTTCCCCTTTTTAGCATGCATGTTAGGCATGTCCTAAGCTTATCACACCACTATTTCAAATACATTGCTCCTAAATCTTTTAATTACTCCAGACAAAGGACACATTCAAGGTAACATCCAAATCAGAGTCCTAGAATTCCTACTGGTTTAGCATTTTGGTGCCATGCCAAGTTTATTTAGATAAGAACTCACTGGTTACATCCTTTGGATTTCTGGCTCAAAGGCTGTGTCTATGCCTATAGACTGGACCTCATCCAAACTGTTTGGAAAGACTTTGCTAACTGCATTGCCGCATTATAAACAAGTGATTATTCGATTTACAAAGCTACAGAAATGCAGCCACACAAAAGACAAGTATAAAAAGCTACAGAAATGCAGCTACAAAAAAGACAAGTATAATGTCAGCTATACTAAAGAACAGTAGAGATAAATGATGTATTTTATCTGCTTGGACACTGGTGGTGTGAATGATAAACTATGGGATGCAATTTGGCACAACTTTTTGAACAACTTGACAAAACATGGAATAAGAAAGCCAAACATAGGTAGGCAGAGCAGAAGGACAAGGCTAAAAGTAGGACTTGTACAAATGAAATAGTTCAGTGTTCCTTCAGCCATCCGCCCACTTCTGTATGGATATGAAGACAGCAGAACAAAATGCTGAAATCCAAGTCAGTTGTGGGGACATGAGTTCACTCGTTTTCACAGTTCAATGCTCACATCGTAGGAAAGCTGCAGAGCTAGGCCTCCCTTACCAAAGAGCAAACTCCCCACTGTTTGAAGTGTTGGATGCTTCAAGAGGGATGCCAAAGTGGTTTCAAGACATCTTTTCTCCCTTTCCATACCACTTCATTTTGGTTGTTCACCCAGGAGTACAAAATAAAGTCTGAAAGCCACTCTCCTACAATTGACCTTCTGTCCAGCAGCGCTGGGCAGAAATTGGCACTTTCTAGCTATATATCTCTGCCCACATTTGCTAAAATGTCTTTAGGATTTTCAGAGATACAAGATATCCTGAAGAATTAAAGGGGAATGGAACCTAATTTCAATATTAACTTTCTTTTTCATGCAAGGAAAACCAGGAAGAGATACTAGAGGCAAGACAGATGTGTTATATATCCTGTTGGCAACAATTTCTGTAAAGGGAGGATTTTTTTCCCATTTCTAAAGCCTCTGAGGAAATATGGAGGCAAATCTTCCCTTCCTGTTACCCAACTGTTGGTGCTCAAGGGTGCATACAACAGAGGGCTGCCCAAATCAGATACTTCCAAACTTCTACTCAGTTGCTTCCAATGATAATTTCTGTCTGCTTGGCTCCCTGTTCTCTGTCCTTCCCCAATTATCAACCTCCCTACAGGAGAAATACTTCTCTTTCAGGGTTAATAGTCGTCACTGAAACTTTCTACATTAGTAGGAAAGCTTGGTTTAGACATGAAGAGACTAATTGTATGTGAAAAAGCCTCTTAAGAGTCAATAGGAATGATGAAATTGAGGCAATACTTTATCTATTTCCTACTTACACTGATACTTACCAGACTACTTCAAATTAGGACAAAGACCCCAAGCAGTGTGCGGAATCACTTTTAGGATGCAGTGTGAAACAAGCTTCTCTTTATTTTTAATGCAGTAAAGCATCTGCTGACATGAACTTATTGAAATTTCATAAAAGCTTACCACCAGTGGATGGGTACAGAGCATGCTTAAGATCCTCATCTAACCTTAGAACATATATCGAGTTCTCATTTATCAGAAAGAGGTCTGTGTGCAGTTCTCTACTATGTAGAATACCCTGCCAGTGTGGAAGAGACAAGGTAGGCAGTCTCATCCACCCAGAAAGGATCCTTGGTACTCCCCGAGTTACGTCTCAGCAATTAAGCTCAATTAGGATATTCTAACATTACACTATTGACAGCACCTGGGAAGCTGATATAGAAAATACAGTATACGCTGCAGTTTTGCTTACCCATGCTGTAGATTTTGGGCCAGGATTAGCAATCTGACAGGAATCACTCTTTGGCAAACCCACGTCCAATCTGTTCAGTAATTCATTGGTTTTGCTATGAAGAAATTCAATCCAAATAGAATTGTTAGTGCTTCCATAAAAATAAACACAGCTTTTTATTCCACCCTTGGAATCTAGCCTAGACATTTTATCACGTGGCTGCTGAAAAACATCACAGGTAGGAAAGAAAAAGGTTATGGAAACAGACAAATGGGACAGAGGATACAGAACCCACACTGTGGATAAAACATTTGCTGGGATGATTTCTTAAGCAAACAATTATGGTCATTTGCATATTTGGGGTGTACAGTGGCTATGCATTCCTCATTGTAAAGCTCCTATACAACAGACTCACATACCACTGGACTTCATGAGGATGTCAACTGCTTCACAGAATTGTTGCAAATCCTTCTACGAGATCTATAAATCTCAGCTAAGTACTTTAAAAGATTATTTTCAGAAATTTTTCTTCACAGTTAATACAATGCAGTCTTACTACAGATTACCAAGCAGAAAAGCTTTCAAGCATTTTGTAACAAGAAAAAAATTCTTGTCTTTAGTTAATGCACAACATTTTCATTTCTTATTCTGGCAAGGGCAATTTTCTTTTTCCAGCTGCATGCCTAACAAACCCAGAATTTCAAACTAGCATTACTTTGCTCAGTTTTGACCAAGTACAATTAAACTAGGTCACAAACAAAAACAAAAGATGGGAGTTTGTGTTCTGTGGTGAGGAATGAGTTTCTTAACCTGCACTCCCAGGCACATATATTGAATTCTTTTCCCACTCAAAGGAACAGAGTTAAAGAGTCAATTTTATTTCTGTGTACAGTTTTAGAAAACATGAAAGCACTGAAGTGAGAGCAGAAAAAGTGCTGCAAGAGATATTGAATGGAAAGATTTACTCTTCTCACAGGGCAACCAGCTAGCTCTGATCAGGGGAAGACTTAGAGAAAAAGCACTGGCTGCTGAAAACTGGTTCTGATTAACTGACTACCAAGTGTGTTTTATATTTCACTCCATGATCTAAAACTGTGAGTTAATACTTTATTGGTAAAATGTCCTGCTGGTCAGTGAGGAGTGATATATTGAGAAGTTCAGAAAAAGAACAAGAAACTACAAGTTCTTCTCTGCTATTCTACACAATACAAAACCATGTTACCACTTCAGGTACGAAGTACTTGCTTAAATTCTAGTGAGTCAGGCTTTTAGAGTCTCACTATTCCCAGTTCACTCCCCTTCCTCCATTACCTGGGTAGGTAACAGACCTCAGGAAATGTACAATAAGGAAAGAACCAGATAAAACACTGTTTTCCCTAATCTACAAAGTACTTATACATAAAGGTTGAACAAATAGTCTTCTTATACAAGTGTTAAGCACTGAATTTTTTTTTCACAAAAGATGAGTTATTAAGTGGTAAGATTGCACAGAATAATTTTGGGAATGAGAAGATTTAAATTGCAGATTTTGTGTTTCTCTACCTATGCTAAAACTGATCAAATAACAATTTATTTCTACACCAGGAAGACTAAGAACTCCTACAAAAAATCTGGAGTATATTTGAGAAGGTTGAAGCTCTGTGAAAAAATATGTGGCAAGTTGGTGCTAGATTCTCTAATTCCTTATCGATGGCAAGAGAATGACATGGAGTGTGCAGAATTTCTCATTATTTGCATAAAAATGTGGTGGAGACCATTGAATTTCCCAGATCAGCACACTGATAAGTGAAAAGCTTACTTAGTTTAAGTATCAGAAAAGATGACTACAACAGTGGAAGCAAATAAAGTTCCTCAGCAAGACTATGCACTGCCTTTGAATAGAGAAATACCTGACTTCACCAAATTAAGTAATACATTAATGAAGTGTTCCTATCACAAGAAAGGGACTCAGATTTCTGAGTTTTCTAATGGAAGACAAGTCAGGTCTTATATATGTTATTCTGTTGTATGTCATCTCTGTGGAAACCTAGCAATGCACCTAGGGTTACCAGACAATGTCTGAATGGCATTTTTCATAATACTAAACCTGCAGTCATAGCAATACAGAAAATAGCTTAAATCAGGCTGCATGGAAAGAGAGAATTCAGAGAGTTGGCTATTCAATTAATGTTCTGGAAAGGAAAGTCGTATCACCAGAAGGAAACCAGCATATTATCAGTACACAGTCAGACAGCTGGAGCAACTTCCCATTCACTTGCTAAAACTTCAAGAGCTAATCAAAAATGCTAAAATGTGTTCCTCTAAACTTAGTAACATTAAGGAAAGAAGAGCATGAGATGAAGAAATTTATTTGAATACAGTAGAATCCTGATAACCTTCAAACACAGCTAGGCAAAAGGAGAGGAAAGATTTGGACTAACCATGAAGGCACTCTCTTAATTGGCTGCTAGCCTGAGTTCTGACTACCCCTAAGCATCAGTCTGAAGAGAACCACTGGTACTTTAGTTAAGCTGGAGTGATCTTATGAGGGTATTTTGTCCTGGTAGCCCTGTCTCCCATTACACCATTGGGAAAAAACCTTTTGCTCTCCTAATTAAAACAGCTTCCTCCCATACTGGTGTGTTTAATAGCACCAAGCACTGCTCTTAGCATGGCAACTCAGCATCTACAGTGCAGTAACTATTGCTGGAATAGTTTTGGCCTGTCTCAAACAGCACTTTCAAAAACAATTCATGGCTTCTGCCTAGGAATGAATATCAACCACAGCTCCCAACAAGTTTTTTAGATGCTACCACACCATTTTGGGAGGTAAAAAATTTTCTAGCAATGGAAGCGGGCACTCTCAGGCCTCAGAAATGTCAGTGATTGACAGTGTTATATTTATCAGTACAGATGCAGAGGTGGGGGAGTGAAGCACAATACAGGATTTGGGGTTTGAATAACTCTTAAGAGCTGTCATGAGAAAACACTAACTCTGCTGCCAGGATCATTGAGTAATGTGCTAGAAGGGGCTGGTGCATGACAGTGGAAATCAGAAATGGTGCAGACACTCTCTGTGGGTCCTCAGATATACGGATTTACATTCCACAGCTACTCTTCAGGCAGATGCCTTTTTAAAAACAAAAGCTGCTATGCAAAAGCATTTTTTGAAGCTCAGCAAGTGTTTGGGACTAAATGCTGCCCACATTTCTATTGGGGTGAGATGAGGGGATGGTTATAAAAGCCAAAGCCTCAGGCCTGTGTAGGAGTTCACATGATCCAACAGGATCACCAGCCCTGACAGCCGAGAAGCAGACAGCTCCCCAGTTGACTACAGAATGCAACTGCAAAAGATCTGAAGACCCACAACGATCTCATTGCAAGATCCAAGGTCTAAATTCATCTGCAGAATAAGGTCTTCAATTTTGTGTGTCAATTGCTTTTATCTACTGTCACATCTACAAGGATAGCAAAAGTCTTGAAAAGGATTCATCCTTAGGGACATGAATGAGGATATGGACTCAGGATTTTCCAGCATTACCAGCATTTTTCTCCATCCAAGAGTCACACAGCACCACTTGCTAAGCTTTTCATTTGAGACTGTATTCTTCTCCGACACAAGGACAGAGAGAAAATAATTTTTCTGCCTACACATAAAGTTCTCAGCTTTAAGTCTGTCTTACAGACTAACATTAAAAATGCATTAATTAAAAGGCTTCTTGTAGTCTTCATTAGTTCTCCCCAATGGAACCAGTGGCAGTTAATTCTTTTGCTTTAATTGATGGATATTGAAATGCCAGTATACCAAAAAATATGCTGGCCTTTATGCCAGTACATTTGGAAAAAAAAAAAAGGCAGCACAGTACTTTTGCATATATCATAAATCTATTTATTTCTCTTGACAAATATATATTTCTATTTGTAAAATATAATGGCCAATTCTTACTACTATTGAAAACAAGACAGCTCATCAACTTCTTGCTTTCTCAAGCTGCAGGATCTCCACCATTACAATTCTGCTCTAATGAACATCCACAAGTATGCTAAAAGTCACTCAAAAATAGTAATAAAAAATAGTCAAAATAAAGAACCCCAAAGCAGGTAAACCATTGTAGCTATTGCAAAGAGTAGACAACTTGAGTAGCCACTAAGCCCACAGAAGAAGCATTTAGTGCTGAATGACTTGGACACATCAGCTTCCAAAATAATTGCCTTTAAGCAATGCTGAAGTGACTTTTCACCATTTTCTCCCAATTCAGCTGGAAAACTAAGAAGCATGCATACTGCATACATAATGTTAGTTTCACACATATACCCAGAAGCTTCATGATAATTTTTAAAAATAGCTGGACTCGCCCTCTCAGAAAAGAAAAATAACAACAAAAAAAACTCAACCCCAAATTTAATTCAAGGCATCTTTTTGCAGCACCAGCAAGTATATCAACAACTTCTCACTCCAACATACTTAATTGGCTTAGTATAACAACTTCCTCAACTTTTGCAGAAATTAAGACTAGTTACATAACCCTACAAAGGCCTACCCAGAAGAAATGCTGCCCTTCATTTCAGTAAGGTCCATGGTGGGTGTGTTTTCACTGATGCCCTTGTTCCTTCCTCACTGAGAGCCCTGCCTTGTGCATTGCCATGTGGATCTTCATCAGACATCAGCCATGTCCAAAACTGCCAGCATGAACTAATGTTCATTTCTGGAGTGTGTGTAGGTGGGGGAATCATCTTTTGTTGGAGGCTATATGGTAAAAAATTACATTAAATTGTTAACACATCAAATTCATGTATGATGTTGATGGCTTTTCTGCAATGTCCTTTTGTGGAAGAGGTTTTACAGAGACTTCTGTGAGCCAGAGAGAAGTTTGATACGAGGATCCATCTTTCCCCCTGAATTTTCTACCAAGGTCGTTGACAAAGAAACCAAGAAAGAAAGAAGGATAAGTAAAAGAAACCTGCAACTGTCTATTCCAATAAGCATTTTGTCTTTCATGACCAATGAGTAAAGTGTAAACTTACGAGTTTTGTAAGAATATATAAAAAGCATGCATGCTATAATAAAAAAAGTTTAAAGCCTTCTGAAAATGGAGTGTGTTGCTTTGTATTGTCTCCATTTCAACTACAACACAC